CCTCTGAAGTTTGTGCTTTCAAGATATTCCCTCTGGGTCACGCTCAATCCCTGTGTAGTTGATCCGCCAGATTGGGTCTGTTGCTCCGTGGTGAGCAAATCAGAGCACTTTCCTGTTCTACCTTCAGGATGTTGGTGGGGTGCCTCTCTTCTGTGGGACTTTGCCTCTGAACTCTCTCTGCAGCCCCTGTTGCCAGTGCCCTGCCAGGCACTGAAGTGATGAGGCAAAGCCTGGAGTCTGCTGTCTTTTCTGCCAATGGTGAGGGAGAGCCTGAGGCTATAGTCTTCCCTGCCACTTTTCACAGGAAAACTTGTATCCATTCTTTAAAAAAAGGTGCTTGGCCTCTGTGACCTGGGAAGAGCCAGGAAACAAGCAGAGAAGCCGCAGCACCAGTTATTGCACCAGGGGCCTGGCCTCTTGCTCTCAAGCCCCCACTTAGACAGTCTCTCTCAGCATTTTCTTCCCAGGAAGGGTTTTGTTGATTTAAAAAAAGAAAGAGAGAGAGAGACAGAGAGACAGAGAGAAAATGACACTCGGCTTCTGCATCCCAGGAATTGCTAGCGTTCAAGCCCAGCAGCTGTGGCACCAGCCGCTGCACCAGGAAAGCCCTTGCCGCTAGCTCCCTAGCCCTCACTCATTCAGCTACTCACATGCCCACTCGCTTACCAGCATGTACACAAAATTTTCCATACACTCACTCACTCACACCAGGACTTGCATAGTCTGACTGACTCAGCTGCTATCTTCCCCCATTCAATTCCTTGCTTTTTATTTTTAATGTATCTGTTATAGGTTTTTGCTCTGTGGTACTATTACCATGAGGTTTACAAAAATCATCTTACAGTTACAACAAGTTGTTTCATTTATTTATTTTTGAGTCAGAGTCTCACGCTGTCACCTAGGCTGGAGTGAGGTGGCATGCTCATGGCAACTGCAGCCTTGACATGCTGGGCTCAGGCGACCCTTCTGCCTCAGCCTTCCAAGTAGCTGGAACTGCAGGCATGTTCCATTATGCCTAGCTGATTTTTTGTTGTTGTTATAGAGACAAGGTCTCACCAAGTTGCTTAGGCTGGTCTCGAACCCTGGGCTCAGGCAATTCTCTCACCTCAGCTTCCCAAAGTGCTGGGATTACAGGCATGAGCCACTGTGCCTGGCTGTTACTTTAAACTGAGCATAACTTAACTTTTATCACAAAGAAAAGAAACAAATAAAGAAAAAGTAAAAAACCATGCTTTAACTCCACACCATTCAAACTTTAACTTTTTGTTATCTCAATTTATATTTTTTATACTGCTTATTTCTTAAAAAGTTATTGCAATTAGTATTCTTGACAGATTTATCTTTTAGTCTTCATACTAATGTTTTGAGTGGTTTACATGCCATAGTTACAGTATTTAGTATTCTGAATTTGTTGATTTACTTTTACCAGTGTATTGTATACCTTCAGATGACTTCTTGTTACACATTAGTGTCCTTTTCTTTCAGACTAAAGTACTCCCTTTAGCATTCCTTGTCAGACAGTTGTGGTGATGATGAATTTCCTCTGATTTTGTTTTTCTGGTTTTTTGTTTTTATTTCTCTTCAAGTTTGTAAGATACTTTGCTGGGTATAAGATTCTTGGTTGGCAGTTTTGTTCTGTTGTTTTTTCCTTTAGCACTGAGAAGTCTACTGCCAGATGTATTAGAGCTCTTTAATATGTTATTTGCTTCTTTTCTCTTGCTACTTTTAGGATTGTTTCTTTGTCCTTGACCTTTGAGAGTTTGATTATTATATACCTTGGGGTAGTCTTATTTGGGTCAAATCTGCTTGGTGTTATTTGACCTTCTTGTGCCTGTTCATATCCTTTTCTAGGTTTGGAAATTCCTCTGCTGCTATTTCTTTGAATAAACTTTCTACTCCTATCTTTCTCTGCTCCCTTTTTAAGGCCAGTGACTCTTAGATTTGCCCTTTTGAGGCTATTTTCTAGATCCCATGAGTGTTCTTCATTCTTTTCATCCTCTTTTCTCACTTGACTGTATGTTTCCAAATACGCTGTCTTTGAACTCACTAATTTTTTCTTCCACTTGATCAATTCTGCTTTTGAGACACTGATGCAGTTTTTAGTTCATTAATTGTATTTTTAAACTCAAGGACTTGATTTTTTAAATTATTTCATTTCAATCTCTCTGCTAAATTTCTCTGATACATTTCTGAATTATTTGTGTTTTATTCAAACTCCTTGAGTTTCCTCAAAACAGCTATTTTGAATTCCCTGAGAGGTCACACATCTCTGTCCAGGATTGAACACTGGTGCTTTACTTAGTCTGTTTGGTGAGGTCATACTTCCCTGAATTTTCTTGGTGCTTGTGAACATTTGTCTGTGTCTGGGCATTGAAGAGTCAGGCATTTATTTCAGTCTTCATAGTCTGGCTTTGTTTGTACTCATCTTCAGAGGGCCTTCCACAAATTGAAAAAGGACTAACTGATGAGTTTCCTACGCTTCTGGTCATCGCCGCAATTTCAGCACTAGAGGGCACTCTAAGCCTAAGCCTAAATTATGCTACACCTCTCATTGCCTTCTAGACATCCAGCCCTGATGAACTTCAGGAGAAACAGAGAATCCCCAGGTTCTCAGGCACATTCCTTTCTTTCTTCCATCTCTGTCCCCCAAGGGGAAGAAGTCTGTCTGTACTGAGCTGCCTGGAGTTGGGGAGGGTTGAGACAGGCGCTCCGGTGGCCACCATAGCTGACACCACACTGGACTGCAGTCCAGAGAAGTTCTGGGGTTTGCACAAGGCCACTTTCATGGTGAAGCCAGCTGGAGATCAGGTCTGTCCTGCCAGGACACTGGATTCTCTTTCGGCCTAGGGTGGGTCTAAAAGTGCCATTGGGGAGCAGTGGCCTGTAATCAAGGGCTTGGGGGTTCTGCCTGGTGCTGTGTTTTACTATGGCAGGACCGATCCTGGGTTTCAAGGGAAAAGTCTCTCATATTCTCCCTTCTCCTCCCCAAGCAGGAGTCTCTCTCCATGCTGCACTGCCTGGAATTGGGGGAGAAGTGACACAAGCACTCCTGTGGCCGGTGCCACACTGGGTCACACCCCAACCCACAGCCTTCCAGACCAGCTTAGCACCAGGGCTCCCCCAGGACCATGGTTGATACAGCCTGGGTGCCAGGAAATTTATTCAGGACCTGAGGCCATGTCAGTCAGCTGGTTGTGAAGTAGGCTGGGACTAGGTTTCCTCCTGCTGGAGTGGTGGATTCCTGATCCAGAGCAGGCTTAAATGCTCCCTCTGTTGGCACCAGCCTGGAATCAAGGTCTGTGGAATTCTGCCCAATGCTGTGTTCCCCTGTGACAGGGCTGGCCTTGAGTTCCAATGCAAAGTCCCATACTCATTTCCCTCTCCCTCTCTGGAGCTCATTCTCTCTCCATGCTGCTCTGCCTGAGGTTAGGGGAGGGGTGGTGTGGGCAATGTGAAATGACCCTTTCTACCCTCTTAAATCTGTCTTTTCTTGTTATTATGCTGACGACAAATACTGTGATCTCTCACCTGATTTTTGGCTTGGTTGGGGAGAGTTGAGACAGGCGCTCCGGTGGCCACCATAGCTGACACCACACTGGATTGCAGCCCAGAGAAGTTCTGGGGTTTGCACAACGGGCTTTCTTCACAGATTGTTCAACTTGATGTTCCTGTGGGGTTACCATCTCTGGAGGGTTCTCTTTAGCCATCTTATTCCACCCAAATGCCAAATTCTCAGACTCACAATCTTGGAAGAGGAGGCCTCATAATCTTTGCTAAAGGAACATTTATGACACACTATCCAGCAGAGCCAGTCCTGAATCTGATACTGATTGGCATTCAGGTTATTGCAAAATATCCTGCCATGATCATGGCTTAGGGAAATTCCATAGCTGAGATTCAAACCTGTAAGCTTCTGACCCCAGGTGGGGATTCTGTGATATGGATGTGCTCCGTATCACCCACTGCCACTAATAACTACAGACTGGCAAGATGAGGCACGTGCAAAGGCTTCCTGAATCAAGACTCTGGGTGGAAGAGTAATAGCTTGCAGCTGCACAAGTAAATGTGTGAGCCAACATTTTTTAACCTCCTGTACTCAGTATGAGGCACCTGTTATTGGCCAAGTAGAGCCCTATACTCAAGACATGTTTACCTGTGTTGTCACCTGGCTTCACAACAGTCCTAAACGGTGGTGGTATACCATTTTGCGTATGTGAACAATGAAGCTCATACTGTCTAAAGTCACCCTGCTAACCTGGTCTTAAAGGGGTTTTATTTTTACCAGGCTGAGGAATTCAGAAGGCCATGATAAGACCTCTGCCTTAAAGAGCATAACATTTAATAAGGGAACAATCTATTGCTTTAAATTATTAATTTCTGACCATAGGTAACTGTGAAAGGAGTTTATAGAATAAATAGCACTGCTGAAATCCAGAGAGGGTTTTAGCTTAGTGGCTAGAGAAAGCTCTGAGACTTGGAAGAATTAGTAAATCTAGATAGGAAGAAAATGTATATCATAGGGGGAATAAAAGTATTAGAGGCCTGGAGGCAGGAATCCATGAGGTGAGTTTGGGAGGAGACAGTCATTTGACTAGATAGGAGGAGACATTTGAAACTAAGGCAACTATGACCTGCTGAACAAGAAGAACTGATGTTTTTAGGGACTGGGTATAGTTTTAAGGGAAGTTGTCTCAAAGCAAGGTCATTTATTGTTGGATCAGGTATAAAATTACTCGATTTTGAATATCTTGTTTGTACAGAACGTTTTTTGAAAAACAATTTTCTTTCTTTCAGAATCACCTTATTAAAGGAAAGGGATAGTATTTTTCTCCTCAGACTGAGCTATGGACATTAAAAGTATAGTCTGAATGAAGTTTTAGAACCCAGGCATTTTTCTTGTAACCCCAGCAATTTGGGAAGGGCCCTTGACAATAACATTGGTATGACTTAAGAATCAAGACTGAAGCAAACCAACAATGCTGTTTGTTTCTGTTTCACAGATAATCACTGCCAATCCTTGGAACACAATCGCTCTTCTCTGTGGGGCCTTCTTGGCATTATTTAAAGCAGCAGAGTTTGCCAAACTGAGTGTGAAATGGATGATCAAAATTAGGAAGAGATACCTTAAAAGAAGAGGTCAGGCAACAAACCATATAAGCTGAAGTTGCCTTGCACTGTTCATAGAACTGCCTGCATTAATGGAGGTTGTCATCACTTCCACCTTGATAAACCAAGCTGCCAGCAATCCTGTACTCACTTGAAGAAATGAGGCACTGGGAGAAACAGCCTGTCAAACTGGAACTTCTGACCTGGCCCGAAAGGTGGCTGTTTAGAGTCTAATAGAAAAGATCCAATGGATGACCTAAAAGTTATTTAAGTATTTAAATTATTAATGAACATTGTAAAGAGCTGTCCAGTGACCTTTGAAAGGATTTGTGGAAGATGCCATTCTTCCTGGTTGGTTCGTTGTATAGTTAAATTCTAGCAGTATAATTAAGGCTCTACGTATTGCCTTAGGTTTTCCCCCTAGGTTTTTAAAATAGGCAGAATAGAATGTGATTTTCTTTTCCTAAAAATCTTAACTGTCAAGATACGTGGGTTGTGCTTTGGAGCCTGTGCACTATATACAAAGAAAGGTAAATGTCAAGCCACTGACAAGCTCTCTCATTTGTTAAATATTAAATGAGACCTTAAAGGTACTAGAAACTAGTAATTAAACTTCTTATAGACTGATTAGCCATCTACTTGTCTGGCTGGAATATCTATCGATGCAGGTATGAGTTTAGAGTGATTAACACGCAAAAGCACTAGAACCGATGTACATAGTAGGTGCCTACTGACTATATTTGAATGATTTCATGAATAGGTAAATAAAAGGTTAGTACAAAAGGAACGGGTGTGCCAGTATGACTATCTGCTAAATCGATAGGTACCAATACTCTCTCATTCTGTGACCTCTAAAAACAAAAGGCAGCTTGATTCCCAAGATGGATGGATCTGATTCCTGAGAGATGTTCTAACTGCTTCCAGGAAAAGGTAGGTTGGGCATGGTGATCAATGGTGGGTGACTAGGAAGAGTGGCATATCATGTCCCATAAGTCATCTGTGTTAATTCTTCACCATGTCCTATAAAACCACCCATCATCTGAGAAAGGGGCACTCAGTATGACCCTCAAAACTTTTAGCTAGCCTTTTATAGAGACGAATATCTATTAAAAAGCCATTTTGGTATTTTTCACATTCACTGATTTAAGATATAAAAATTGTTTCCAGAATTTTAAGTTATCTACATGACCACTACAATCAAAGAGGACTTGGTAGCATTTCTTAAATTTCATAATCTGGAATTGGATAATCCAAAGGGACCAACTCAAATGTATGAATAGGGCGTTTTTCTCTCATGTCTAACTTAGCAGCAAGAAACTGTTTCTTGGTTGAATTATTAAAAGTCAACTGTGTAAAGAGATTCCTGGCTACTATTATGCTCCAGAGAAGCATGAGAATTCAAATTTTAGCCTAGGTCTCTTTGAAAATCTTACTGTAGGGCAAATGCAAAGCCAGGCATAAAAGCTTACAACAACAGTATTGAAAAACAGGTGTGTGTTCCTCTATTATTACTTAACTATCTAATAAAATTTGCATCACCGAACTAAAACTTTGTTTTCTATATTGTGCTCGGTTGAGAGACCTATTAAATGTGCTTTAGTGTAAGTAGATAATTAGAAAGTTAACATTTTACCTATTCAAAGAGAAAAAACTTTATTAGCTGTAACCTGTTAAAAATCTATTGTAAGCTGGACTTGGTGGCTCAGCCTGTAATCCCGTGCTTTGGGAGCCCGCGGGTTTGAGACCCGCCTGGGCAACTTGGCGAGACTTCATCTCTACAATAAATCAAAAAATTAGCCGGGCATGGTAGCGCGCGCCTGTAGTTCCAGATACTTGGAAGGCTGAGGCGGAAGGATCGCTGGGGCCCAGCAGGTTGAGGCTGCGGTGGCCGGGAGCGGCCACTGCACTCCAGTCTGGGTGACAGGTGAGACTCCAACTCAAAAAAAAAAAAAATCTATTCTAGCTGCTCTCCAGTAAAATAAATATATGCCTAAACCTTCTACAGAATAGACATTTAGACCTAACCCTCACTTTCTAGAGAAGCAGGGGCTTTTCATTCTGTTTTATAGTAGGATCATCTTTTGTTTTGGGGGGGTTTTTTTGAGTCAGAGTCTCACTCTGTCGCCCAGGCTGGAGTGTAGCAGGCAACAGAGCCACCGCATGCTCACGGCCACCACTGCCTTGACCTGCTGGGCTCAGGTGATCCTTCCACCTTAGCATTCCAAGTAGCTACAGGTGTGTGCTACTATGCACAGCTAATTTTTTGATGTATTGTAGAGACGAGGTCTCGCCAAGTTGCCCAGGCTAGTCTCGAACCCCTGTGCTCAGGCAATCCTCTTGCCTCTGTTTCCCAAAGTGTTGGGATTACAGGCATGAGTCACCACACCCAGCTGATCATCTTTTTAACTGTGCTGTCCCCAGCTGTCAGCAATACTGGCTGGCTTTGGGTGAGTGTAGGGAATGTGGAAGAAACACTTTGATCTGATCACCACGACAGAGGTGGCTCTGCAACACTTGCTACTTGAGCACACTATATAAAATATGAGCCACTGTACTAAATGGAAGAGTCTCTTTCATGATGACCTAGGAGTTGTATCCAGAACCTGTGCTAGAGGGTTTTGGGGTTTTTTTTTTTTGAGAAAGTAGGATTTATTGAAAAGATAGAAAAGCTCCCACAGTGAGAGAGGACTCAAGGAGGTTGCCCTTTGCTAGAGTTTTTATTTTTTATTTTTTTTATTTTTTATTTTTTTGAGTTGGAGTCTCACTCCATCGCCCAGACTGGAGTGCAGGCCACTGCAGCCTCGACCTGCTGGGCTCCGGTGATCCTTCTGCCTCAGCCTTCCGAGTAGCCGGAATTACAGGCACGCACTACCATGCCCGGCTGATTTTTTGATTTATTGTAGAGATGAGGTCTCACCTGCCCAGGCGGGTCTTGAACCCGCGGGCTCAGGCAATTCACTCACCTCAGCCTCCCAAAGGCACGGGATTATAGGCTGAGCCACCGAGCCTGGCTGTGCTAGTTTTTAACTGATGTTAAAGAAAGCAGTAGACCAGGCTCAGTGGCTCAGCCTGTAATCCCAGCACTTTGGAAGGCCGAGGTGAGTAGATTGCCTGAGTCTGCAGGTTTGAGACCCATGTGGGCAACTTAGCGAGACCTCATCTCTACAATAAATAAAAAATTAGCCAGATGTGGCAGTGCACGCCTCTAGTTCCAGCTCCTTGGAAGGTTGAGGCAGAAGGATCGCCGGACCCCAGCAGGTCAAGGCTGCGGTGGCCGGGAACGTGCCACTGCACTCCAGTCTGGGCAACACAGTGAGACTCCAACTCAAAAAGAAAAGAAAAGAAAGCAGAAGTAAATATCAGTAGTGGAGAACACTTCATAATCATGTCTGACTTTTAACTCTGCCACAGTTTCTGCTCCTCACACAAAAAAGTGCTCTTATTTATTATGGATTGTGAGATGTACCTTCCTGGGTCTATTTTAATTAAAATTAGCCGCAAAGTAAGTTAAACTTATGCTGTGAACATAGAGGGGCATAATGGAGGATGGAAGGATAGGCCAGAACTCGAAATTTTTGCAAAAATTCTGTAAAACACATATACTCTGGTAAATGGCTAGAATACTCAACCCTGGCATACAACCTTCCTATTTTTTAATTAGAATACACCCTATAATCTGTCTTTAAAATTTCTATAATCACATGTGTATGTATGTGTAAAGGGAGCGGGCTTCTCAAGAACTAAGCTTATGCCTAAGCGTTGAGCTAAGAAAAGCAAAGATGACATAAGGCAAAATACAAACATAGATTTTATTAAATGCTGCTCAATCCCCCAATGAAGATCTTTCATTACAAAACAGTTTTCCACACAACTGCAGGTTAAGAGATTGGAATGGTACTCTGATAACAAAAGATGTGAGAAATACTTGACCGAGTAAAAACATACAAGACCTCTGTATAGTCATCAACTTTCGGAACTCTACAGAGGAAGCCTACTGCATTTCCTTTAAATAAAGCCAGGCAGTGACAACTAGCGCTCTGTATCACCACACTGTGGGACTCAAAGCCAACATCCCTGGTTCAGGAGGCACTGGGGGAAGGGTAGGTTGTGAGGACTGGAAAGGCCCTGCCTTCAGCCTTTGACAGGAGGAGGAATGAATTGAGAGGCAAGCTGAGTATTCACCTGATGCCGCTGCACATCTGTTCATCACTCTGGGGAGCTGCAGGTGAAGGGGACACTCAGGAGGAACACTCTGGAGAATTTTGGTTTACTTCCCCAGCTTTTATTTATACTTTGTGCTTTAAAAAGCCTGGAGATTTAAGGTTTTTCCCAAATTCCAGAGTACAGTCATATCTTTGATGAGGGAGGGCTTAGGGCATGTAACTCCCCCCATCATATTTCTGGGCAAACAAAGAGAAGGGTAAGGATGATACCTTAGTTTTATTTTAGGAAGTATTCTTTTTCCTAGGATGTAACTAAGGTCTGCAGCAATGTGAAAAAGCACATTATAAAAGAAAAAAATATACAAAGCAGACTACCATATCTATGTGCAACACAATCAGAGAAGAATTCAAGTCATAATTCTTACCACTCCCATAATTATCTCACTCATATCATAGATAATATTCATTTCTGTGAAACTTCAGAAGTGATACAATAAGTCAATGATTAGACAATGGTTACAATATACTGTGGCCATGATATAGCGCAGGGCTATGTTTAGTCCATATATTTTTCATTTACAGTTGCCAGAAAAAAAATTGGCCTTTTAATTATATTATACTGATGAGGTTTGTTTTGTAATTTTTACATATTTCAAAAAAGTGTACAAAACTGTGCCTATCTGGCAGAGGTGGTAGGCTTTTTTTATTCGGCACTTGTATTGCTGAGAATACTGTGCATGTTAAAAGCACTGTTCTGGTTTTCTAGAGCTTTCTTTAGCTTTAGCTCCTCTAATTTTTTCCACAATTCTTCACGTTCCAATTCCTTCTTTTTCTCTCTGTAGAGAAATCAAAATTTTGGAATCAGATTTTATTTCAGAACCTGGAGAGAGGTGGTGTTTGGCATTTTGCTGGAGATTATTCACCCATTTCATTTAAATCCCTCTACTAAAGTGTGGGAGTTCAATTACCAGAAGTACCTAATATCTTCTATCAGTCTCCTAGATGTAATGATTAAGTCTGTGCACTTCCACCAACTAGAAGTTACTTCTTGCTTTCCCTCCCCTATGTGTTATCACTACCACACTACCACAACAGTGTTTGTACTTTATAGACAACAGAGCACTTTAACACTCATTTTCTCACAGACACTTCCTGTAGTCGCTGTAGCAGGCACCATTACTGTTAAAGGCAAAGGCTGAAGGGACTGGTTGCCAGGTCAGTCAAGCACTTCCTGTCACCACCCCTGCAGAAACCACGTCTTTCTGTGCATCTCTAGTCACTAACCAGTTTGTACCTTGCTATCTCCTGCCTCTTACATGTCAAAAGAAAACTTTTAAGTTTGAATAGTCTCTCTCTAAACAAAACAAACGTCAAAATATTTCAAATGTTGTTTCAACTACTTAATTTCAATTCTAAGGAAAACATTTCTGAGTATCTTAGACTAGGCGATTCTGAAAGGCTATTATGTGAACACGTAAAACTTAGGCTTATAGCTCCACAGTTGTATATGATTTAAAAGACAACTCCTTTTAAGGATTTGCTGATTTATGCAGATAAGAAATAATTATTATTCTTAGTCATATGAAACATATATTTTTCAAATAAAAGTTCCATATGACCCTAGTCATTTCTTCTTCTTATTGCCTATGAGGCTTCCTAAGGCTTAAACCATGTACCTAACTTCTATTCCTTCCTGAATGCTGCTACTCAAAAGAAATACTAAATTGGGTTAGTTATTAATGGGCCAGAGGGCCCTGAAGAAGAGCTATCCATTTTCCACATGACATAAGAAAACTATGACTAGGAACACATAGTCAAATAGATCAGCTTTTCTAAACAGAACAGCTAATATGTGAATTAGAAGTAAATGGTAGCTGTTATCCTCATGATAGGGCTCAGGTTGCAGTTACTGTCCATATTAAGTTTAAGAAAGCCCTTCTTAAGTTTGAAATAAATATATGAGAAGTGTTTTTTTAAAAGATTATTTTTTAGTAATTTATGAAATTCTCAAAGGGAAGTAATTACTGAGCCATGTTCCTTAAGGCTGATATGTGCTATCATTTATTCTCTAAAATACATATTATTGCAAGGAACAACGTACTAACATTGCCCTGGACCATAAGCATATTATGTGAGTACCCTTTTCCCAAAGGAAAACTATGCTGACTTTAAAATACTATCTCTGTAATGTGATGTTTAAGAATTATCAACTGTTTTATACAAGGAACAGTTAAAGGGTAAAGCTCAGTATGGAAGTCCATGTGGACAAAAACAATTTTCAGAAATAAAAGGATAAGAAATCAAATTGTATAAATTGGTATTTAAAGTTCAGTATAAATTGTATGTCATAATGCAGATGCTACTAGACTGATGAAATCTAAGGCTCAGAATGAGATAAACAGGATTTATGTTCCACATTAAAATAATAATCTAACCATTAGGGGAAGTAAATTATATAACAATCTTAAATAAATGGTTACTGCTTTTTCTGCTTAACAAATATAAAAATATGGGTGCTAGTTTATCTGGAAATAAGATTTTCAAACTGCAATACTTAATGTAAGGTAACTGATTCCTTAAACATGACAATTTTAACTTAGAGAAAATACCTTTCGGAACTGAATCATTTAACCTAAAATATATAGATAATTTTGTAATTCAAAGTATCAAATACCTCTGTCTTTCAGCTTTGTATGAGCTAGTAAGGTCCTCAAAAAGCTTGCCATTCATTTCCATTAGGGTTTTCAGCACATTGTATACCAGGGTTACAATGGTCCTGAAATGAAAATGAGCCAGTCCTGGGTTATTGATGCTGCTAATAGGAAATATAACACTGTCATCTCTAAAATGGGTTAAGCGTTGGCTGATTCACTGTAGAGATGATAAAACTGAGGTTTGAGAGGTTTGTAATTTGCTCAAGGTCACACAGCCAGTGATGTATAGACAGTCTATTTAATTCCAAAAAACTTACATCCTTCCCACTTTATCATGCATAGATTAAACTCTGGCTAAAAATGTTCTGGTTATCTTCATTTCTGCTCTAGAGTCTCATGTCTGAAGCCTTGAGTAACAACATTAAAAGAAGATAAAAGATCAAACTACCAAAACTTATAAGAAGAAAAGCAGAAAGGAAGATACAGATGTTACAGAAGTTGGATATATACATTTCAAGTATCACTGTTACCGTAAGCACTTTAGCTTTCCCCAGGACATTGCTCTTTAGAGGTGAGACTAGGTAATGGGGCCAACCAACACAACTCTACATTTAAGGGAGTAGTTTGTGCATTCTCTGCAGATGTTCAGTTGGTCTCCCCCACTGAACAGGGTTTGGCCACACACTGGTGCAGAACGTTATACCTGACAGTCCAACCTCCAGGGAGATATGCAATTTTAAATTGACATTAGACCATAAACTAAAGAACATACAGATATATACACTTACAACTTTATAAATCTATATATAAGACACAGAATAGAATGGTGTGATGTTAACCTTGGAATAAGTGCCAAATCTGTACAAGTTTCATGAATGTGTTGGGAAATTAAATGACAAAAAGGTTAAAAAAACAACAACACTAGAAGAATATGACTGACATAAAAGATATTTACAAAAATGTATATATACTTACGGATTCCAGTGTTCTTTGGAAATTTTGTACAAACTGGCAAACATAATTGGCAGAATTTTATCAATATTCTCCTCAATTAAACTAAGGATATATTCATTATTCCAGAAGTACAATGCCCTTTCTGCAACCTAAAAGAGATATTTAGAAAAGTCAAAACGAAAAGAGAAAATAAATAATAGTATAATAGGAATAGCTTCAATGAAAACATCATACCTGGAAATGAGAACTGGATACACACTTGGATATCTGCTTAAAAAGTGGCTCTTCAATTTTTTTGAACTGTGTTGGTTCAATGACATCTAAGATTTCTTCAATTTCTCCTAAAAACATCACCTAGGTTAAAAAAATTTTCTTTTAAGAAACATAATATAAATTATATTAATATAGAAAGCATACAAATGTGAAGACTAATCTATACGTTATACAATGGGCAATAAAGGTCTAGACAGTGTTCAGTTTACTGTGGTGCTCAGTTCTTCGTGTGGCATAGTCTCTATCTCCTGCTCTGTGGCAGCAGCAATACAGCCAGCCCACAGAAGCCAGGACTATGCCCTGGGATTGAGACATCCTAATAAAATACACTACATTTAGTGAACAAACCCTACCTCTTTCTGACTGCACGTTTTTGGCCAAAATTTCAGCAGTCCTCTGATCACCTACAAAAAAAGAAAAGTTAAACATGCATTAAGCACTGAAGCTAGTTAATCCCAGGATGTTTTCAATAGCTATGATTACATGAACACTCAACTCTGAAGTAAATCAATATTGCTTAATATCCACATGTATACCTAGACTTTCTGCTTAGCTTTAGAATTATATTAATTCACCAAATATACAAATATTTACTGAGCGCCTACTACATGCCAGATAGTGTTCTAGGGACACAGTATGCTAGGGACACACTGATAAAAAAGACAAAAATGCGGTGTCTGGTTTTCATGATGCTTACATTGTAAAGGAGGAGACCAATGTAAGTGATTGATTAAATACATAAACAAAACAATCTTAATAGTATGTGCTACTTCTAAAAAAATAAAAATATAACAGCTTGGTGGGGTGAAAGAAGGAGATTATTTTAAGGAGAACAGATAATTCCTATTATATAAACCATTATGAAACACAAAAAAGCTAGAAAGCTTCCCAATGTATTTCATGGCTAACACAATCTTGATAACCAAACTACAACAAAACACAAGGGACTAAGTATTTAAATAAACACAGTTGCAAAAATTTGCATTAAACTGAATCCTACCGTATATTAACAAAATACTGCATGCCCAATTGTAATGCAGTCCGGAAATGCCAGCATGATTCATTATAGGTTAAAAGGATAAAAAGCCTATGTGATCATCTCAAATGATTCTAAACAATCATTTGATAATTTTGATTAACTACACATTGTGATAAAAATTTAGTAAGCTAAACCATCAAGAGAGCAGAGACAGCCCACAGAATGGGAAAAGATATTTGCCAACTGTATATCTGACAAAGGCCTAACATGTAGGATTTACAAGGAACTCAAGTGCTGAAAGGAAAAAAAACAAACAGCCCCATTAAAAAGTGGGCAAAAGACATGAATAGATACACCTCCAAAGGAGATATATGGGCTGCCAACAGACACATGAAAAGGTGCTCAGCCTCACTATCATTAGAGAAATGCAAATCAAAACCCCACTGAGATACCACCTAACCCCTGTAAGATGGTGGCTCAGCCTGTAATCCCGTACCTTGAGAGGCTGAGGTGAGTGGATTGCCTGAGCCCACAGGTTTGAGACCTGCCCGGGCAACTTAGCGAGCCCTCATCTCTACAATAAATCAAAAATTAGCCGGGCGTGGTAGCATGTGCCTATAATTCCAGCTACTTGGAAGGCTGAGGCGGAAGGATCACCAGAGCCCAGCAAGTTGAGGCTGCGGTGGCCGGAAGCATGCCACTGCACTCCTGTCTGGGCAAGAGTGAGACTCCAACTAAAAAAATAAGTAACAGATGCTGGTGAGGATGCAGAGAAAAAGGAACGCTTCTACACTGCTGGTGGGAATGCAAACTAGTGCAACCTTTTTGGAAGACAGTGTGGCAATTTCTGAAAGAACTAGAAACTGATCTTCCATCTGACCCAGTAATTCCCCTATTGGTATATACCCGGAGGAACTCAAATCTTTCCACAAAAAAGATACCTGCACAAGTATGTTTGTTGCAGCTCTGTTCACAATAGCAAAAACATGGAACCAATCATGCTATCATCAAAGCTGGACTGGATTTTTAAAAATGTGGTACATATACACAATGGAATTTTATGCAGTCATGAAGAAGGACAAACATATGGACTTTGCAGCAACTTGGATAGATTTAGAGTCTAACATAGTGATCTATCACAGAAATAAATAACAGAGTATCATATGTTCTCACTCATAAGCAGACCTTGAACACATAATAATATAAGAAAGGGATTGGTAGTAGTGGGAAACTGCTGGCAGGGGGTGGGGGAGGGATTGAAAGTTGAAGGAAACTGCTAGGGAAGGGAGGGGCACACCTCATCAACAAAGGTACCTGCATAATCAACGTTTGTATACCTAACCCTGAATTGTACCCATCTTTAAAAAAAAAAAAAAAGAAAAAATTTAGTATGCTAAAATGAAGAGAATTTATCAAAAACCATCAGCAATCATTTACACAATGATTTATTGGAAATAGGGTGCAAGCTATGTGGGCCTGGCGGTTTTGTTGTTGAAACAGATCTTTGACAGCCTTCTAGGTTACTTTATAGTCTGGTCTAATAATGAGGAACACTCATTCAAATTAAAATTGGGAAGAACATTGTTCTGGAGTCAATCCAGTAAGATAAGAAGAATTTGATAATTTGGGAAAGGAATACCAGAATTATTCCTATTTGTCTAAATATGTAATATGTATATACTCCCTAAAATTTAAACTGAAAGTTACTAGAATGAGTAGGAAAATTCAATATATGGCCGGATGAAAGATAACTATATAAAAGTCAGCACTTTTTTCAACTACTGAATATCGATAATAATCAGATGAAAATAGGAAAAAATATGCTTTTCTTAACAAGGTACTATCATGTGCATAAGGAATAAAATTTGCAAAAAATGTGTAAAACTTCTAGGAAGGTAACTGTAAAACTAGTGAAGATCATGAAAGGCTACAAATACAATCATGTGTAACTTAATGACAGGGATATATTCTGAGAAATGCATCATTAGGTGATTCCATCATTGTACATTGTACATCATTATATAGAGTGCATTTACACAAACCTAGATGGTATAGCCTACGACATACCACTACACATCTAGGCTATATGGTATAGCCTATTGCTCTAAGGCTACAAACCTGTACAGCATGTGACTGTACTGAATACTGTTGGTAAGTGTAACAGAATAGTATTTGTGTATCTAAACATAGAAAAGGTACAGTAAAAATATAGTATTGTAATCTTATGGGACCCCTTTTGTGTTTGTTTGTTTGTTTAAAGAGATGGGGTCTCTTTCTATAGCCCAAGCTGGAATGCAGTGGTGTGGTCATAGCTCACTGCAGCCTCAAACTCCTGGGCGCGAGTGATCTCCTGCCTCAGTGTGTTTTATATGCTATCTATTACTGATTGAAACATTATGTGGTATGTGACTATAAATAGAGGAGATGGTTCAATATTGTACAGATATTATTTCTCCTGTACTCAATCTTCAAATTTAATATAATCTTAATCAAATGTCAATTGAGTTATTTTTTGCAGCAAACATTTATTCTAAAATCTATAAATAGAAACAATAAATTGTTTTTAGGGAAGTGAATTAATGGAACAGAACTGGTACTACTGTTATCAGCAAATAAACAAGATGGGATTAGCACAGAAATGGACAAAAAAGATATATGAAATAGAGGAGTAACTAAACAGACTTATGTATATATGGGCTTTAATATACAACAAAGGTGGCATTTCGGTTCCATGGGAAACTGGTGGTGCTGGGACTGGTAGCTCGCCATTTAGAAAGGAAGAAATGTGGCTCCTTTGGTTGGCAGACTCCTAAGATGACCTCCTGTGATATTGGCTTCTGTATTCACACTGTTGTGTAATGCCCTCCCCTTAAGTGTGGGTTGGCTTGCTGACTTGCTTCTGATCAACAGACTGGCAAAAGTGACAGAATGTCACTTCCATTAGCAGGTTACAAGAGACTGACTTCTGTCTTAATAGCAGATTCTTGCTATCCTGGCTTCCAAGCTTTGATGAAGCAAGCTGCTGTGTTGGAGCGTCCTGGTAACAGGAAACTGAAGGTGGGATCTGGCCAATAGCCAGCCAGGAACTGAGGCTCCTAGTCCAACAGCACTTGAGGAAGTGAATTCTGACAACCACCACGCAAAATGGGAAATATTCTCCCCTATCGGAGACTGCATGAGACGCACACTCTGGCCAACACCCAACTGCAGCCTGTGAGAGATCCTGAAGCAGAGGACCCACCTAAGCCATGACCAGATTCCTGATTCACAGAAACGGAGACAATAAATGCTTGTTATTTTAAGCCACCGAATTTTGTGATAATTTGTTGAGCATAATGGAAAACTAATATATTTCCTTACCCTATGATACACAAACTTCAACCTCAGTGCAGTGGGTTGAGCAGTGGCCCCTCAAAAAGATATGTCAGCATCTTAATCTCTAGAACCTATGAATGTGACTTATTTGAAAAACAGGTCTTTACAGATGTAAATAAAAATCTTAAATGAAATTATCCTGGATTATCCAGATGGGCCATAAATCCAATGACAAGCGTTCTTCTAAGAGCCACAAAAAGAGAAAAGGAGGTGGCAGCCAATGTGGTGGGTCATGCCTGTAAACCCAGCCTTTTGGGATGCTGAGGTGGAAGGACTGATTGAGGCTAGCAGTTTGAGACCAGCTTGGGCATCATAGTAAGACCCCATCTCTACAGAAAAAAAAAAAGAAAGGCAATGTGAAATTGGAGTAATTTAGCCAAAAGTCAATGAACACCTAGAGCCACCTGAAGCCAGAAGAGGTAAGGAACTGAATATTTCCCCTAGAGCCTATGCTAACACCTTAATTTCGAACTTCTGACATCCAGAACTGTGAGAGAACACATTTCTGTTTTAAGCCATCAAATTGGCAGCAATTCATTATGGCAGCCCTAGGAAACTATTACAAATAGAATAAAGATGTAAAGTAAAAAACTAAATCCATAAAATAACTAGAATATACAACTAGAAAATTAGATAGTGTATATATGGATGTATATATGTGTGTGTGTGTATACACTAGGATATATACTGGAGAATATTTTTATAAGCTCAGGGAATAAAAGGATATTTCTTAGCACACATCAAAAAGTAGTTTTTTTAGTTCTTTAAGGCAAAGATTAAAAATAGTATATTTAATGTTAAAATAAAAACTCTAACTGGGCAAAAAATATTTGTAAAATATAATAGGAAATGGTTAAAAGTAGGACACAAAAATATAAACAGCCAAAAACATGTTTTTAAAATGGCTGAATCTCTGTAATAATTTTAAAAAGTCAATTAAAACAATACTTTACATCAAAATAGACTTATCAAAAATCTTAAAACTTAATATTTTAATTTTCTGTAGAAACAAAGTTTTGCTATGTTGCCTAATCTGGTCTCAAGTTTCTGGTCTCAAGTGATCCTTCTGCCTCATCCTCCCAAAGTGCTGGGATTATAGGCATGCTCCGCCGCACCTAGCCTGTTTTTATTTTACAGTTACATGCAGTAAAATTCCTCCCCCCCTTTTGATATACAGTTCTGAGGGTTTTTATACATGCATAGATTTTCTCATAACCAATACCACAGACAGGAGACAGAACAATTCTGACACACCAAAACATTCCCTCACCCAGCAACATGTTTATAACAATGAAAAACTCCTAGTGTCCATTAGCTGAGTATTGATTAATACATTAAATTATCCATATAGAATTTAATGCTACCAATGAAAAAACGAAATAGATTAATATGGAAGATAGCTACATTTAGGCAAAAAAAAAAAAAATGGTCAGCGTTGTCCTACCATTCATTTAATCTACACATAAATACACACACACACACACACACACACACACACACACACACACACACACACACAATTTTCCAAGAATATATTCACCAATTCATATGGTTATCTCTATAGGAAACAATTTCAGAGAAGTTTCATATTGTGCTTAATGTTTTTGTATTGTGTGAGCCAATTTAACACATATTACTTTTATAATTAGAAATAATAAGTCATTTTCATTTTAGAAAATAATTTCAACACAAGATTTAGGTACATGAGAATGTAATAAACTAACACAAGCTCTGAGTTATTTGTAATTTCAGGAAGCTTTGGTATGAATTCTAGGTTTCCAGAAAATTAATATTAAAGCTCAAACCCAAGTAATATGGCCATAGTTTTGGTGCTGAAACAGCTTATGGTAGAAATGGCAAGATCACTATATCTGGAGACCTTATGAATTGAAAAGCATTTCCTTTGTTAACTTTGACATTTACCTTACTCTCTCCTCATTCCGTCCCTATTGCCATGAAACCAACTCACTCAAGCCAGACATCTGGCCATCATCTCTCTCCCTAATCTTCTACTCTTAAAAAAAAAAAAAAAAAACCTATCTTCTTTATCTATCCCAAATTAAGTAAAATTTTGTTTACTATTTATCAAGCATGAACCATGACTTTTATGTATTATGGGTTTTCATTTCTCAATTCTAATCATGAATTTGTATTAAGTTTTAAATCACTTCAGAGGTTTATGTGGTTTTATGTATGAATATTGGGCTGCTAATCCTGATTTCTCATAAACACTGCTTACAGAAAGGACTATAAATCTAAAAGGAGAAAAACTCAAAAGATTAGGGAGTAGAAAAATATCTTTTGTTCCTTTATACAAAGTTCAAGTGAAAGGGAGAATACTAAGTATATTTTTCAAGCATCCCTAAAGATAGTCTCAGAAGGTTGATAATACATAAATTTAAAATCTTGTAGTTTCAATCCTTCAAATCCTTTGCTATTCTTCAAGAACTATCTCCGTTTACATATTCAGATTTAATATGCCTAGAAAGCATTCTCTCAAAATATTTCACCAAGGTTAAAATGTTTTCTGTTTTTATACTTTTCTATTTCACTTTACCTCTTTTGTTTTTCTTGAATCTTTAGTCAGCTGTTATAACTAATTATTTCTTTACTCTTTCCTGAATTTTCATTTTATAGGTAAATAGTAAGCAGTAGAATTCATATACAACCTTTACTCCAAGATATATCTTAAGCACCAAAGGTAAGGAAATGTTTTCCATCCCCAGCATGTGGTTTATCATTAATGAGAGCAAAATCCTATTACTAAAACAAAACAAAACTCAAGGGAATCGTTTTGGGGCCATCACAGTATGTTTTAATTCTAAAAGGTGAAGAAAGATTAAAAAGATTATCAGTAAAGATAATATGGATATAAAACTTAACTGTGATCATTTGATCCATCATCAACACATCCCAATTAACTGTTTGTTAATATCAATCTGTATTTAGGTCGTTCAAGATAGAAGTCAAGAGAACTCTCCCCCACAACACCCTCCTCTGAATGCAGATTAACCTCACATTCCCTCAAATGATTTTGGCTTCAGGTACATTATTACACTATTTAATAACTCTATAAGGCTATATCTATAAGGCTAAGAAAGCTAATAAAATCCTATTAATGCAGATGAAAATATGAAAATGAGTAGAACACTTACTGGTTCTGTTAGGGTTGTATCTTTCTCCAGGAACTGTACAACACAGTATGCTAGCTAAAAGGTAAGGGACAGTTTGTAAATATTACTGAGCAAAATAATATTTAGTGATGCAGGATATTTTTTACATTTAGCCAATAAAATTGACTACCTACCTCACTTTGATAAACTGTACTCTAAATTTATTCCAGTATATAAAAATATACTCATGATTGTGAATGAAATTGTGAAAATATACTCACAATTGTGTAACTTTTAACCTTGAAAATAACTTCTAGCTCAAAAAACATTGTTTTTTAGTGTCATTTCTGACTATAATGTTAACTGAAATAAGACTAGGGCTAACAATTTAGTTTTTCAGCATGTTTGTACATGTATGCCTATGCTGATATCTTATTCTCTAAATATTAGTAGAGGAGACTGAAAATCTTTCTAACTAGGTTACTGCAGCTGGAAGGAACATTCTGCAGATATGTGGGATTTATTCAGTCACATAGTTAATTGGGTCATGGCCTGGACCAGAATATAAGGAAACTCGATATTTTCTATATCTGTACTTAGAGTGCATTGGTCTTATTTAATAACTAAATATCATCATTTTTAAATTACAATAAAAACTTGCTTTGTATAACTTTGTCAGCAAATTGTTCAATTATACTTAAAACTGTCATCTCAATATTTCACAATTTCTCTGCCTTTATATTTGCCTCTGGCAATATTCACTTCATTTGAAATTTTTGTGAAACTTACCTGAGCATGAAACAAAGCTAATCCTTTTGCAGTATGCATAGGAATAAGAACCTTCATTAGAAATTGCTTATGTTCTGCTTTCAGTGGCAATGCAAAGCCATTGATAATACTGGAGGGAAAAAAAGGCAGGGGAAGTGTTAAGTAGTTACCACTTTGTTTCTAAAAGTTATAATATCCATGAGTTCATAAGGAACAGTGTTCTGCTTCAATCCTGGTGGTGCATGACTATTCATCTTCAAACTATTTTAGGCAGACTATTACTATGAAGTCTCTTCCTCTAAGTCATTCAATGACCCCACAAGAAATTTAGGATTGCCCATTGATGCCCCAGCAAGCAATTTCTATCTTCATTTTCTATAAAGCCTGTCATTTAAAAAAATTTCAATAGCTTTAGGGAGCTTTTGGTTACATAGCTGCATTATATGGTGGTGAAGAAGTCTGGGCTTTATGTGTACCTGTCACCCCCACTAGAGTACACTGTACCTGATAGTTGATTTTTTTCACCCCTCCCCGCGTTTACCCTCCTCCTTCTAAGTATACAGTGTCCATTTTATCATTCTATATGCCTTTGCAGACCCTCAGTTTAGCTCCCATTTATAAGTTAAAACATGCAGTATTTGGTTTTCCATTTCTGTAAGCCTGTCATTTCATGCATTATGTTGCCTTTGTTCTCCTCCCTGAAGCCATAGGAGAGTCACTATCACAATATTGTTAGAATTTCAATATTTTCTGAAGTAAATGGGTAGTTTCTCTTGCTTTGTTGGATAATCTGAAATTAAGAATTAGTTCTCTCTACAATAATATTCAGAATAGTAATAAAGGAGACTAATTCTCTAAATAGTTAATAGGAGGTTCTAAAATTCTCTCAGGTTAATACTGATATAAAGTGAACAAGGAAGGCAAAACATTCATGTAAACTAAAACCAAAGACTATAGATTCTTCTAAAGAGAACAGATGGATTAGGAGTGATATCTGAACAAGAATTCTTTTTTTTTTTTTTTTTTGAGTAGGAGTCTCATTCTGTTGCCCAGGTTGTAATGCAGCCTGCAGCCCCAACCTGCTGGGCTCAGGTGATCCTTCCACCTCAGCCTTCCAAGTAGCTGGAACTATATATAGGCACATGCCACCACACCTAGCTAATTTTTTGATTTATTGTAGAATGAGGTCTCAACATGTTGTCCAGGCCAGTCTCTAACTCGCAGGCTCTGGCAATCCTCTCACCTCTGCCTCTCAAAGTGCTGGGATTACACTTGTAAGCCACAGTGCCCGGCCTGAACAAGAATTCTTGTAACTTCACTAAAGGTTCACTATAGCTTATTTCATCTCTTCCTAATTAGAGCCTATACATTTCTGTGGCAGTCTGGCAAGACCAGGCATAAAACATGCCACAGCTTGAAAGCAGGAAACCTGTCTTAAAGCAGATATCTTATATGGCAGTATTTTAATATGCTGATGCCCTAAAAAACCATTATAATAAGAATTCAGTTGAGAAACTCTATGTCTTGTGCTCTATATTTAAACCCTAAAATATGAAATAATTTCTCCAACCCCAGTAAGATTTTAATACGTAAGCCATTCAAAGTTACTTAATTCTTAAAAAGAACAACAAAAAATCTGACCTACCTTCCTAGTATTTCGAGGAGTTCAGCAACACCATTGAAATGTTCTGTTTCATATATAAACCTGAATTAAAAATAAAGACAGATGTAATAAAAATTAAACATCAGAAAACCAAGCGAAACAGGCAGGAAGTAAAGAAATCAATCCAAAAGGTAGCTATTAGAAACACATTCCATGCTTTAGGTTTTCTTTATAAGCTATTTTGCCCCAAATGGGCTAATTAATTCATAGGAATCTCACAAAAGAAGGTCTAGTTCCTATTAAGTCACATATGTCTTTGCTATTAAACTAACCATAGGTGAAGATAACAAAACAACATTTCACCTGGAATAGTCTATTTACTTAATAATTTTTAAGAAAGATGGATTTTCTCAAAGAAATACTTTTCAAAATAAGAAACCTCTACTCAGGAAAATCCAAGAGAAAAAGACTGATACAAAATAAAGCCACTTTTACTCAGAATTTCTCTAAATCTCAACTTACACAGGCTGTCTACCTTTCCAAGATTAAGACTGCCTTTAAAACAGAGGGACATGAACTCAAATGACTACAGAACAGGGCAGGTGTTATAAACAGCTAAAGTAGTTCTTAGAAGGTGATGATAACTGGAGAAAAATGCTGTCTCTAGACAAGGCAGCCATTCCATAACTGTTGCAATGTGGGAATGCTCCAATTTAGCCAGACTTCAATTAATCAAAACAAACAAATACACCAAACCTTAAATGTGGGTATTATTACAAAATCCCCTGCTGTGAAGCAACTCCTTAACATATTAGCATTTATAAAGTACAGTTGGCCCTCTGTATCAATGGGTTCCACATCTGCAGATTCAACCAACCACAGATGGAAAATGTTTTTTTTTTGAAAATGAAAATTTAAGCTGGGTGCGGTGACCCATGTCTGTAATCCCAGTACTTTGGGAGGCAGAGGTGAGAGGATTGTCTAAGCTCAGGGGTTCAAGACCAGCCTGGGCAACTTGGCGAGACCTCATCTCTACAATAAATCAAAAAAATTAGCCAGGCGTCGTGGTACATGCCTGTGGTTCCAGCTACCTGGAAAGTTGAGGCGGAAGGATCACCTGAGCCCAGCAGGTCAAGGCTGCAGTGACTGTGAACGTGCCAATGCACTCCAGCCTGGGCGACAGAGTGAGACTTCAGCTACAAAAATAAATAAAAATAAAAAAATAAAAAATGAAAATTTAAAATATAGTATAGCAAGTATTTGCATAGCATTTACATTGTATTAAGTATTAATAAGTTAGAAATAATTTAAGGCCATTGCCTTACTAGACTCTGGTGTGGCCATGTGCTCTTCGAGCTATGGCTGTCACCATGCATCCTGGCTTTGGCTCCCTCCCCTACCTTGGGGAGGTGAATCTCTTCTTTTTCTCTCTTTCTAGTTTCGTTTTTAAATAAACTACATTTTCTCATCTAATAAAAAAAAGAAATAATTTAAACTATACAAAAGGATGTGTGGAGGTTATATGCAAATACTATGCCATTTTATATAAAGGACTTAAGCATTTTGGTATCAGCAGGGGTCCTAGAATCAATCTCCCACAGATACTGAGGGGATGACTGTAGTCAAATGATAGGCTTCATATAATAATTAGCTTTGACAGATAATCAAGTAAAAACGCTTACAAGAGTTACAAAATAATATTTATACATACATTTTTAAACAAAAAACTCATCAGATGAGATAAATTCTCCTTCTCTCAATACATCTTACACATGAATAACATTCGTATTACCTACTAAAAATTGTCCTCATTATTACTGTCCACTTATATTAAGGTTACAAGTTTCTAAAAAGTTAGATTCAATCAAATGATAGCCACAAAAAGCTAAAAATAACTCAAATGCTTTCAGCTAAATGTAAAGATTTCAGATATTAAAAATTAACCTAAAAAGACTTAGAATGAAAGAAGATGTGTAGGGGGAAAGTATTACGTATGAATAAATAGCTAATTTACCTGAGGAAAATGTTGTTAATTTGTTTTCTGATGAATGCTCTTAATCCAAGAAATTTCCCATAAATTCGATGCAGAACTGTCTTCAGGAAGTCACGTTCTCTGGGATCTTCACTATCAAAAAGCTCCAGGAGCTTTAAAAAAAATCTGAGAAATTACTTTTAAAAAATAATCAAGTGAAAACTTCACTTTATTCTAATTCTGATTTTAACACTACCCATGAAATCTTTTTAAAAATTTTCTAGAGATTTTTATCTTATCACACTTTTATTCCTGCTAGATAACGAAGCTAAAGAAAAGCTTAAGGAAGATTTCTTTTCAATTATTTCATTTCAAAATATGACACAATAAGTAATACAAACACTTCAAAAAATGCATGCATTTTTTTTGTCTTGCCACTGATTTTAAAATTCTACTCTTCTAAACATAGCTCACAATTTTAGAGCATTAAAATCTGAGAGATTTTTTAATGCTTTCTGATCATCAAAACTATACAAATCTTAAGCTTTTAGATTGCGCCTTTGGGAGGCTGAGGTGAGTGGATTGCCTGAGCCCGCGGGTTCGAGACCCACTGGGCAACTTGGCGAGACCTCATCTCTACAATAAATCAAAAATAAGCTGGGTGGGGTAGCGCGCGTCTGTACTTCCAGCTACTTGGAAGGCTGAGGCGGAAGGATCGCCGGAGCCCAGCGGGTCGAGGCTGCGGTGGCCGGGAGCGGCCACTGCACTCCAGTCAGGGCGACAGAGTGAGACTCCAACTCAAAAAAAAAAAAAAAATGGCTAACCAAGTCAAGATACTCACATTCAAGTTTCTGATGCTAGTTTTTCTTGGAAGACATGCTCAAATTAATAAAGGGGGCCCTTCGTTAAGGTCTTCATGGCAAATTCAAATTAATATAATTTAATACAAGATGATTTTCAGGAGGAAAATATTAAACTAGAGAACACCTGTTAGCTAAGTTTGAAATCTGTTTAATGAGATCTATTTTCAAATATAATTTAAATAAATCTATTTAGAAATATTATATTCACATAATAAAACATAAACAAAACTAATAATCAGGAAGCTGTGTTTCTTTTTTTTTTTGAGTTGGAGTCTCACTCTGTCACCCAGACTGGAGTGCAGTGGCCACTCCCGGTCACCGCAGCCTTGATCTGCTGGGCTCCAGCGATCCTTCCCCCTCAGCCTTCCAAGCAGCTGGAACTATAGGCGCGTACTACCACGCCCGGCTCATTTTTGATTTATTGTAGAGTTGAGGTCTTGCCAAGGCGGGTCTCAAAGCCATGGGCTCAGGCAATTCACTCACCTCAGCCTCCCAAAGGCGCAGGATTACAGGCTGAGCCACCGAGCCCGGGTAGCTGTGTTTCTTACTCTGGCTCGGATACTAATATCTAAATGCTTTTAAGGGTAATTCATAACCTCTGAGCCTATGTTTATTCACTGATAAAATAATGAAGGTTGAAACCAATTATTCCTTTTTTTTTTTTTTTTTGAGTTGGAGTCTCACTCTGTCACCCAGACTGGAGTGCAGTGGCCGCTCCCAGCCACCACAGTCTCGACCTGCTAGGCTCCGGCAATCCTTCCGCCTCAGCCTTCCAAGTAGCTGGAACTACAGGCGCGGGCTACCAGGCTCGGCTAATTTTTGATTTATTGTAGAGATGAGGTCTCGCCAAGTTGCCCAGGCGGGTCTCGAACCCGCGGGCTCAGGCAATCCACTCACCTCAGCCTCCCAAAGGCGCCGGATTACAGGCTGAGCCACTGAGCCCAGCTTATTATTCCTTTTTTAAGAGAATGTATTATAATGGTCAGAGAAGCTAGTGTAAATACTGATTGCGCCACCAACTAGCTGTGTGAAACTGGACATGGTCTAGCTCTTTATATAAAAACACATAAGGGCAGTGCCTGGCACATAAAAAGCCCTCAATAAATCTTAGTTTCCTTTTTTCTTCTGAAATTCTGATTTGAGAGTTGGCATTACACAATTATTTTCTTCTCTTGCAATAATGAACATTCAAATTTATTCAAATAAATTTTCCCCTGTTCTTCTAAGTATTAAAACTTACTATCTACCAAATCATTTCAAAATACAAAAGCTGAGAATTCTCATATACACTATATATTAAACAATACCTGAGAATACCTCAAAGAAGTGATCTATGAAAGCACAGTCATACGAATGGCTAAAAGCAAAGTGTTTGGTCTTGGCTTCTCTGGTAATTCAGGCATTTAAGGTAGAAGATAGAAGTCCCACCCTACTAATTTTCTTGCTTCCCTCCAAGCTACATTATAAAACAAAAGCCTAAATACCTCAAGCTCCAGACTGAGGAAGCACTAAGGCAATTGTTCCCCTCAACTTACTGTTGTTTTAAAAAAAAAAAAAAGTAATATAGCATTACTAGAGTTCCCTAAAATATCCCACACAAGACGTATACAAGGAAATAAATATGCATTCATTTGCAATTACCAATAAAACAAAACTCTTTAATCTGATTGATTTTTACTCATGATCAAAATAGACACTTTACTGTTAATATTTATTAGCACCTAATATTTATAAGTTGTGAAAAGCTATTTGAATGATTGAAGGAAATATTTTAGGCTGACAATGTTCCTTATCAATACTTTACAGCAACTGGTCAGAATACTTTATATGAGACTGGGGATGGTTATGAATGGCCAAAAGGAGCTCTAAATATATAGGATTCACATTTGTAGAATCTTTGTCAGGGGACACACAAGGTGGTCTGAAGTTAGAAAGGTGCTTGTAATGATTTTAATCCTTGGCCTTAGCATCAAATTCCTAAAAAGGCCTTAAATACTGCTAAATATTTCAAAAGAGAAAACAGACCTAGAAAGATCTGGTCTATATTACAATTTTGTTTATTCCAGTCAATTCCTTTAAATTGTTGAAAAGATTTTGAAAATAAAAATGAATACATTCTTGGAAACTGAGTATGTACGTTGCAAAAATGACAGCTATTAACTGTTTATAAAAAGTTTATAAATATTTATATTACTGTTTATATTAGTTTATAAAAAGAAAGATGGTATCACATATGTTCACCTCCTTTCGTCTTAATGAACCTGTTTTACCGTGGTTTAGGAATTGGGTAGTGGGATGCGTAAAGTGCAAAGAGGAAAGGAAGAGGGAAAGGTAACTGAGACTTCATGACAGTAAAGGAGTTAAAAGTCCAAACTCCTCTCAGTTATTCTGTTTCTCTTTTTCCTCCTCTCTGTCATTTCAAAGTCACTGCTTAAAATATGTCGAGCTCAAGTTTAAAGACTTAAAACAAAAGTTTTTCCCGTAGATTGAATGGTCATACCAAAACTTCTCAGTTAGATATTACAGAAAAACTTGCTTTTCTGGTCTTGATAAAATAACCACAGGAATTTAGGATTGGATAGAATAATTTTATTGACTTCATTAGAAGCTCACCCTTGATAAAAATAATCTTTTATTCTCAGAGCTGCTTCACTTCTATCCTGTCTGGAAAGAATAAGTCCTGTCAAACTGAAATAAACCATTAAGGTTTTGAAAGACTACTCTATTGTAATCAGAAGTTAGTAAATCACTGTTAGGATGAATATCAGAAATTCTAAGACATAAGAATTCCTTACCTGTTGTACAAATTTCTGATCAATGTATCGCTTTGCAATGCTAGGCTGGAAATCAGGGCTCTCCAAAAATCTCAAGAAGAATTCATACACCAACTATGAGAGAAAGTCAAATAAATGCTAAGACGATGCTTGTAAAATACTACCCTAAATTTTCACTCCATCTGAAAAACACAAGCCTCTTACTACGTAAAGAGACTGCTCATTGTAAAACATCATGAATTGGTAAAAATGTTTTAAAAATACAGTTTAAAAAAAATTTTTTTAAGTCGGGGGTCTCACTCGTCACCCAGGCTGGAGTGCAGTAGCATAATCACAGCTCACCGCAGTCTCAAACTGCTGGGCTCAGGCAATCCTTCTGCCTCAGCCTCCTGAGTAGCTGGGACTATAGGCATACACCACCACTCCTGGATAATTTTTTCTTTTTGTAGCGATGAGGACTCACAATGTTGCCTAGGCTGGTCTCAAACTCCTGGGGTCAAGCAACCCTCCTGCCTCAGGACCTCCCAAGGCGCTAGGTAGGATTACAAGAATGAGCCACCACACCCAGCCAAAAAATAAAAAATACAATTTAAAAAACTGTTTATTTATAACTTTATCTCCTAAGCTGGTAAACTTTGAGACCGGTTGACTGACTGATCAATTCTTAAGAGACAGGGTCTCACTCTGTTACCCAGGCTGGAGTGCAGCAGTATAATGACAGTTTGCTGCAACCTCAAACTCCTGGGCTCAAGCATCCTCCTACCCTCACCCTCCCAAGCAGCTAGAACTACAGGCATGCCCCACCATGCTGGGCTAATTTTTATTTTTTAATTTTTTTGTAGGGATGGGGTTTCTTGCTATGTTGTTCAAGTTGATCTCGAACTCCTGGCCTCAATGATCCTTCTGCCTCAGCCTCCCAAAGTGCTGGAATTACAGGGTGAGCCAATGTGCCTAGCCTGGAATTTATTTCTTGCTGCAAGGGACCTAGAAAATAATAATAATGCCTATAAAATATTTAATTAAGACTATTTTGCAAACCATACTCCTCAGGAACATGTTTCTTTCCCAATGGACTACTAATCTACCTCAATTTAATCTCTAGAGACCCTTAAATACAGTGTCAGAAACATCCAAATAAGGCAGTGTACCATTAACAATTTTTTAAAAGAAAAGAAAAACTTCAAGTTTTAGCCCCAAAAGTACTTTAGCTTATTAACTATTAACCAATACTATATCAACTTAGCACTCTAAAAATAAAAAAGGAGGATCTGATCCCTAAGTAAAAATGTCATTCAGTAAGCATTTAGGTAGTCAGTTAGGTCAGATACAGAAGGGAGAAAAAGAAAAAAGATTACTATGTTAGACTCACAGACCTTACAGCACACAAAAGCATTGCTAGATCTGGGCCCTATCATTTATCAAATGACAACAAAATTTTATCACTATGAGTTCAATACCATTCTAAGGCTAACAGTGGTTTGGGAACAAGTAAATATAGTTTTGTTTAATACATCTTTGCCCAACTATGCAAAAGGAGCAACACTTAGCTGGTCTAACATTACTTAACTTTTTGTGTTTATCATGAATTAAGAATATAACAAGAAAAAAATAGAAGTTGATATCGATGAAGTTTTTATTTATGGACAAATTTCTAATCAACCAGCAGTGTAAATGATATAGACAATTTGCTTTCATGTACCCACATGTAATAAGATATACAAACCTGATTATGGCATGCTCTGAAGAATCTGCACAGTCTCATGGACTGCTACCCTGCTCTGTTAAAAGCACAACTTAAGCCAGGCTCGGTGGCTCAGCCTGTAATCCCGCGCCTTTGGGAGGCTGAGGTGAGTGGATTGCCTGAGCCCGCAGGTTCGAGACCCGCCTGGGCAGCGAGAACTCATCTCTACAATAAATCAAAAAATCAGCCGGGCGTGGTGGTGCATGCCTGTAATTCCAGCTACTTGGAAGGCTGAGGCGGAAGGATCGCCGGAGCCCAGCAGGCGAGGTTGTGGTGGCCGGGAGCGGCTACTGCACTCCAGTCTGGGCGACAGAGTGAGATTCCAACTCAAAAAAAAAAAAGCACAACTTATTCATTCATTGCCTATTTTCATGTCCAGTACTGGGCATGTATAATGTCAACAGGAATTAGGCACTGTATGGCTTCAAAAAGCTCATTCACTAATTAGGGACATAAAAATAAAAACACATAAAATTGTATACACAAAGGTATACACTATGTGTGCAGGTGATATTTAGGAAAGGGCTATATGACTGTGGAGTAAGGACAATAGGAAAAGCTTTAAGGAGGAAAGGCAACTTGAGTCCTGCATTTGAGCAGATTCTGGACAAGTCAAGAAGAAAGAGGAGGGCTTTTATTTTACAGAAAGGTGGAAGCATGTCTTGAAATGAAGATGGTGCAGGATATGGGTTGGTGGTATGGAATCACAGTCTTAGATTCCTTACACAGATTTCTAGAGCTCAGTGGAAGTTAAGATTCCATGCTCGGCCGGGCTGGGTGGCTCAGCCTGTAATCCCGCGCCTTTGGGAGGCTGAGGTGAGTGGACTGCCTGAGCCCACGGGTTCGAGACCCGCCTGGGCAGCGAGACCTCAGCTCTACAATAAATCAAAAAATCAGCCAGGCGTGGTAGCACATGCCTGTAATTGCGGCTACTCGGAAGGCTGAGGCGGAAGGATCGCTGGAGCCCGGCAGGTCGAGGCTGCGGTGGCCGGGAGCGGCCACTGCACTCCAGTCTGGGCGACAGAGTGAGACTCCAACTCAAAATAAATAGCATAACATAACATAACATAAAAATAAATAACTGTTTAGCCTGGCTCGGTGGCTCAGCCTGTAATCCCGCGCTTTGGGATGCCAAGGTGAGTGAATTGTCTGAGCCCACGGGTTCGAAATCTGCCTGGGCAACTTGGCGAGACCTCATCTCTACAATAAATAAAAAAATTAGCCGAGCATGGTAGCACGCGCCTCTAGTTCCAGCTACTTGGAAGACTGAGGCAGAAGGATCGCCGGAGCCCAGCGGGTCGAGGCTATGATGGCCGGGAGCGACCACTGAACTCCAGTCTGGGCAACTGAATGAGACTCCAACATACATACATACATACATACATACATGTTTAATGTTTATCCCAGATAGAGATACATACATACATACATACATACATACATAAATGTTTAATGTTTATCCCAGATAGAGGTAGAGGGACCACTGGTGACCTATGGAGCTGAAAATCTTCAAGATGGCACAATTAAGTTTATGCTTCTATAAAATTGTATCCTGCCCCCAGTGTCACTCTTTATATATCCCATCCTGCATTATTGTTTTCTTGCATTTATCACACCCTGACATAGAATGTGTGTCAATTATTCTATTATTATTTTATTCTTCTCTACTAGGATGTAAGGGATTTTGCCAAATTCTGTACTTTACCCTCCATGTTTAGAGTAATGACTGACACACAGTAGCTGCTCAATATTTACTGAGTGAATGAAAATCATAGCTATTAAGAGACTGTGTTTCTATGTAGTTACTGAAGTTTCTTTATGTTCTTCTATATGAAGAAATAATTTGCTCCAAGAATCTAAGAAATAATGCTGCAAAGAACAACAGATACTTCAGCAATGGATTCAGTTTACTAATAAATGGCAAATTTCACCTATGTATGGCTGGTCTTTCTACTTCTGTACACCAAAAAAATACCATAAAAGATGAAAGATAACTAAAAAACATGAAAATGGAGAGTAATCCTACCACTGTATTCAGTTCTAACCATGTTAAAATAAAATATATAAAATACTGGTCTTCACCATTAAAATATTTAGGATAAGAAACAGCAGGAAACAGCATAGATGACTAAGGTATCTGAAAATAAGACCTATACAGAAAGCTAAAGGAATTGGAAATGTTCGGCCAAGTGGCAAAGACAGAGAAGCAACTTTCATGATCTACATATGCATAAGAGGCTCTTTCAAGGAATATGATGATCACCTGTTTTCCAACCTCTATTAAGAGGAAACTAATATAAACAAGTTTTAAAAATTGATTAGGCTGGGCTCAGTGGCTCAGCCTGTAATCCCGCACCTTGGGAGGTCGAGGTGAGTGAATTGCCTGAGCCCGCGGGCTCAAGACCCGCTTGGGCAACCTGGCGATACCTCATCTCTACAACAAATCAAAAAAATTAGCTGGGCGTGGTAGCGCACGCCTGTAATTCCAGCTACTTAGAAGGCTGAGGCAGAAGGCTCGCCGGAGCCCAGCAGGTCGAGGCTACAGTGACTGCGAGCAGCCACTGCACTCCAGTCTGGGCGACAGAGTGAGACTCCAACTCAAAAAAAAAAAAAAAAAAAAAATTGATTAAAGCTATGGGAGCTTTTCTGTCCTCTCAATAAATCTTGCTTTCTCAAAAAAAAAAATTTTTTTTTTGATTTAACGTATGAAAAAATTCGTATAAAAATGGCATACTGAACTTTATGAGATATTATATATTAAGACCTGGGATATGGTAAGCACTAATAAAATCTTAGTTCTCGAAGAATCTGGTCTCTGCTGTAATCCTTGTAAAAACAAACCAGATTCTGCATGAACCTTTAATAGCTTAAATACAGCCTAACTCTTTTATTCATAAGAAATTAAGAAGATAATTATTAGAATAAAACAATAAAAAGAGAGTAATAACTATTCACAATTAAAAAGTCAAAGTAATAAAAGTTTCCCTGCTTCATATAAGGATGAAAGATGTTCCTTTCTATTTTTGTTCCTATAATGTTAGCGCATTAGGGTATGATCACTATCATTCTGGATTCTTAGCCCATGCAAATACTTAAAATACAGTATCTGGCCAAGAGTTATTTCAAAGTGTACTTTGCAAAATATTTATGTCCCTAGTTCAAATTTCTAAGTATATCTCTTCCCACGGAGAAGAGCCTTCTACTCCCTAAAATACAGGTTATTCCTAAAAAGGTCTATGCTCTAGTCAGTGTACCACATAATTAAATCTTAATTATCTGTGTTACTAAAGTAATTAATAAAAGAAAATGAAAATACACAATTTGCCTTGTGTTCCAGGCTAGTACAGCTGCCAAGTCGCCTAATTATCTAAAT